AGAGCAGCAGCTGGCGGAAGGCACGAGACGGCCCTTGGCAAGTCGGTGCCGATGGTTTCTGAAAAAGTTGCTAGGTGAGACTGGCTGGGAAGCCGCCGCCCGCTACGCCGAGATCCACCTCGAGCAGGAGGAGCAAGGTGAGATCCCCTTATAAGCCTTTACCCCCGCAAACCCCAAACCCTAAACTCCAAATTCTCTTTCAGGCGCAGCCGAGCTCGCAGAAGAGCGGGCGGCGGCGGAAGCTGCGGAGGCTCCAGCAGATCCGATGAGCAAGAGACTGCTGGAGCTGGCGGAGCTGCGGGATTTGGCTGCCAAGCGGCGGAGACTGCAGATGCAGGCAGCTCGCGAAGCTGCCGAAGCAGCCACGGCGGCGGAAGCTGCTTCTGCAGAGGCGGCGGGAGCTGCTTCTCCCAAGGTCCGGAAGGCCAAAGCTTGCATGCTGGATTTTTTTGCGAGGCCATGGACTGCGATCTGGCCGAAGCCGGCGACTCAGCAACCCCAACCTTCAAAGCCTAGACACACATCCTGCACCGAGTCTGCGGAAGCACTGCCCTTCGAATCCGAGCAGGCGGCGTTTCCCCGGGAGGAGGAGGCCGGAAGGCTTTTGTGGAAGAGCCGGAAGGTTATCGCAATCCTGCACAGGAACTGGACGCCGAGCGCAATGCGGAGCTCTCAGAGATTCGCCGCCTGCAGGAGGCCGGGAGGCTCGCCAGTAAGCTTCGAAAACAGTTGATTCTCATTTTGGTGCAAGGAGAATCAGCGACGGCATTTCAGGCTCGCGCGACAGGCCTTGGAAGTCCGCCAGGCGGGAGCCTCCCAAACCCTGAACCCCTACACCCTACACCCTACCTGAACCCTCACCCTGCCCAGGCCGAGCTCGCGGCGGAGATGCGGGAGCTGACTCAGCTGAATCTGGAACAGGAGGCCCTAGAGGCCTTTTTCTTTTTTTCGTTGCTTCGGGCCGGAAGGCCACAACTGCCGGAAGGCACAAACCCAACAGACCGGAAGGTCATCTAAAACAACGCAACATAACCCCCTCGGCGCCAGGCGGCGGCAGCTCAGGGGCGGGAGCTCTCAGCTGAGAGGCGTGCTCTTGAGGAGCGATTTCAGTAGATCTGCAACAGCAACAGCAGCAGACAAAAGCAGCAACAACAGCAACAGCAACA